TAACTCATTCATTAAATCATGAAGGGTAGGGGAACTAGAGGAAGGAAGGTCATAACTAGTAAAGGGGATATCTCTACTAGTAGAATGTTTATACTCCTACTCTCAGATTTTCATCCTTCATGGGTTTCATACGTCTAAATTACCTTTACTAATGGGTTTCATAGGGTAAACCCATTCTTCATCATCTCCAGCTTCAACTCTAGAAAGTTGACAAAGTGCATAAATGAGGTCAGGATGTCCCAGACCTCCACTTGATTCACTCATTGTCGTGGTCAACTCTATTGAATTAAATAGCCTAAGTTTCTAGAAAAATCCGTCGTCGGCGCCGTCGGCCAGATTTTCAAAATTAGTTCAATTTCCTGATTTTTGCGATTTTGATCAATTTCTTGCGATTATTTTGATCAATTTCAAGCCTTGTCGACATCCGTTCAACCATTTTAGACATAAGTTTTAAGTGATTAAATGATGTACTAACACAAATAAACATTCACAACACAAAATATCACAATTATATATAAAATCCAAGGGTTACAATACACGTTATATAACACACACAAGTTTGGTATTTTCTCAAACTTAATACATCAATTAAGCGTCGCAATCCAAGCCACAACACTCTAAACGCTGGAAACAAACATTTTATGCTCAATCTCAACTATACTAAGATCCAAAAGCAAAATTCAAAAGTAAAGCAAACGCATAAGTTCAAATCAAATCACACACATAGACATATAGGTAGTAAAATAAATCTACTACGATTCAGTGCTTGTTTCTCCTCTGATATCGCCCATCGATTGAACATGAATGAAGAGGTTATAGAAGGGTCGATATGAGAATTTTTCAGTAGTCCTCTTCTATTAATCTCATCTTTCTCATTAATCGTATCAAACTTCCTTCGATATGTCCAGAGTGATCAATATGCTCTTTCATCCTCCAGTCTAGATGATCAAAAATTTCAGAGATATTGTTAATTGTATTCTATTGCTAAGGCCAGCAAGGAATTGAAACATACAATCCTTTTCTACGATATTATGGAAGAAGAATAAGTCGGTTGGAGAATCTCAATTGTAGTCGTAGTTCAAGTCGCATTTTATCCATAATACAACAAAGTCATTATAGTACCGTGTCACGGTTCTTGACCTCTATTTTTCCTCCCGGATATTTTTAGATATCTCATAGAGTTGGCTGGAATTTCTTACATCCGAGTAGGTATCACGTACAACCGTTCAAAGAGCACTAGCTGAAGGGAGGAACATGTACGAACGACCAAGTGACGTTTTCATGGAGTTGATTAGCCATGACATGACCATTGAGTTTTCCACTTCCTCCATATATCATGTCAGTTTTCGAAGGCTCGCGAATCATACCTTTGAGGTGACCGAATATCCCACTTCATTTGAGAAACAATGAGACCGCTTTATACCATTGGGGGAAGTTGCTGTCATTCAATTTATGAGTTGTGATTAAGAAATTTATGTTGGCTTCTGGATCTCCAGCCTGCAAGGGAGCAGAGGTTAGAGTCGATCCTGTAATGGAGTTAAGAACGCCTTCTGAGGAGTGATTCATTGAAAGAATCAGCCATAATTTCGATTGAGCCAAATGATATGTTGTTGTGGTTTTGAGCCATTGATGAATTTTGATAGAATCATGACAAACAGATACAACCGTAGAAATTGCAGGTAGCAGGACAACTGTAGGGATCCTACCTGCAACACAACGACAGCAAGAGGTATCTAGCAGACAAGAACCTGCAGGAACAATAGACAGGAACCTGCTGGAACAGGATGAATCCTTCTGGAATTGGACCCCGCAGGAACATCAACAGCAGCAGGAGTCTGGTGGACAGAAACTTGCAGGGAAGAGAAAAACGGCTGCTTGAAGCAGGAATAGGAGGACCGACTCGTAACTGTCCGTCCGCAGAACGAATCGAAAGGCTGTCCGTGACCACAAATTTTCTGGAATAGAAGGATTCATGCAGTTAGAATGAGGGGGTGGAGGCGGCGGCTGTTGGAAATATCATGTTGAGATGTGGAATAGAACAACTCAATTTCATTGATAGGAGGGGTATTTAAACCCAATTACAATAGGCATAATAATGGAAAGCAAAAACAGAATAAAATAACTAGGAAAGAAAGTAAAATAGAATAAAATAAGTGGAAATACATAATCAAGAAATAAAATCAAATAATAAGTAATAACGGCGTAGTGATAGCCGTTATAATATAATATTAACTACACAATTATATGAATTTATGTATCCATCTCCTAAAGTTTGATATTTACATTTATAACACTTAGATGCTATAAATTTATGCATAGAAAAAGCGCATTTGATTTAAAAGTTAACAAATTAGGATTTTTTATGTGATGTTAAAGATTTGAGTGTTATTAATCTAAATAAAAGTTAGGTATTAGATATGCAAATACATAAGAATTACGTGGTATGTATGAAAACACGCCTTATCTTTAATAATCCTCATTGTCCAGGAGAAGAATCTCAAGCTCAAGCAGAACTTTATGATATTCTTCTGCAACCCCTTGAGAGCCATTTTCTAGTATTTGAGACTTTTATTCTTTGCATGTAAACCCTGATTATATGATTATGTGATATCAATATTTGAAATACTTAGACATTTATTATTCAACTTTAGTATGTAATAATTAATTATCACATTTTCCCTTCTCCGCTTGTTAGGAAAAAGTAGCATATTATGATATAGCTACGGAGAAAAGGGCCGAGTTTGAGAAGGCCATGTCAGAGTACTTGAAGATGAAGGTAAAACATTTCAACTTTTTTCTGTATCAGATTTTCTCCTCCATCATGCAACATTAACCATCTGCTTCATCTTGCAGGAGAACAATGATTTGTCCGAGGAATCATATGAATAAGACCGATTATGATTGGTGGATATGAACTAAGGTGCAAAATGGAAATTTATTTTCTTCAACTAATCTGTAATTATTGCTGTTATCAGTTTATGAATGATGATGAGAAAACTCTGCAGAGATTGAAAAATTTTGGATTCTCTGCAGGACTGCCCTCAGCTCGCTATAGTTTACTTGAAAGTAGTTTCTGAGAGACTAATCATTGTAGAAGATTAGGATGTATTGACAATGTTCAGATTTCTTCTGTTCGTGAGGTTTTTTTATCATCAAATATTCCGTATTGAAACTTTTTGCTTCGGTTATTTGTTTGTAACAGTGAAACAAGTGCAAGCGCTGGTTTGCTTCGTGGAGGGAAGCGCTAACTTTGCTGCAGATAATGTGTGCGATCAGACCAATTGTTATCTGCGACCAAACAAAATTATATTTACTGTAGTGGAAGCAAAATAATAGTAATAATACATGCACACACTCTTTTCAGCCAGTCAGCAGAGCATGAGTTCAAAGGAGATGGCTGCCCATGGACCAATACTTGATATCGCACGATCGGTACTCAAACTCATGCTTGGGCTGCTCAAAGCTGGGAACGAATGGCCCCAACATCTATAATCGAAATAAAAAAAAGGGGTATTGTTTGAGATCCAAAAAAGTGTTGTCTGCCATCTAAAATAAGGACTTTCATTGAAAGCCGGCTCCCATGAAGATTGTCGGGGTATGTTTGAGATCCAAAAAGGTATGATCAGGACCAAAGACATGATAGAAGAATAGGCCCTAATTGGGGGTTGATTTGAGTCGAGTTGAAGGTATTCATTGCGATCGAGGGAGTTAATCAACGTCCAACAAAGGTTCCAACAACAAAAAAGTAAAGTAAACTGATATATGCTCATGCTATTCACATCGCAAGGGTCGTCCTCGCCATCCTTGGACGAGACAGAGTAGAGGCCACCCGATGAGGAAGCCTAAAAAGATTTCGCCCAAGCTAGCTATAAATAATAGCCTTATCCTTATGAGCAGTCCCCCCCCGTGACACCGAAAACTTAATAAACATTTTGTTCAAATTGGTATTTGTTAAAATGGGTCTCAAAAATTTGGCGCCTAGCGGATATGCCCGAATTATTATATTGTCTCTCGCGAGAAGAAAGAAACCTTGGTGTTCCAACCACTACCCCTATGACTTGGGGAGAGGGCAACAAAAAAATTAATGCTATGGCCGATTTCATCGTACTAAATTTACCTGCAATGTACAATGCTACTATTGGTTAGCCGTTATTGAGCACCTTTTAAGGTAGTAGTCTCAACCTACCACACAACAATAAAATTTCTGAGTGATGAAGAAATCATCACAGTCTGAGGATATTTAGAGCAGTCACGCACCTACTACAGCGTGCACCGAGAGCCACTAGAGTTGGATACACAATGAGTCGTCTAAAAACCAACTTGATAATTGAGGAAGTCCCTGTCGGATTCGATAATGAAAGTAAGTCATTTTGACTAAATATCATTTCTGGTACATGTTATAAAGAGAATCTTGCTCATAATCTCTGGGGATATTGTCAAGTCTTTGCTTGGTCTGTCGAGGAGACGCTAGAAGCTTCCATAGATGTAGCTTGCCATCACCTCGGCATCAACCCTTTGGCGCGACCGACAAAATAGAAAATGACGTCAATGGCTCTATCCTTAGCCAAGCCAATCAAGGAATTTCAAAAGCCGTTGGAAGTGGGATACATTAAAGAGGTGTAGTATCCATTCCGGGTAGAAAACATGGTGATGGTTCACAAGGTAATGGGGAAATGGTGAATGTGTATTGATTTCACTAACCTGAATGGTGCCTGCCTGAAAGTGAACTACATCCTTCACTCCTTATAATTTCATATGCTTAACTTAAAATCTTCAAACTTTGGTTGAGATGATTAGGTTTAAGTCATTGAAGCTTAAATTGAGTTCTCATAGTCTTGGGTTGACCTCATTTTTTGAGTGAGGTCTTGTTCTCTCTCTAGAATTGATGTTTAACCTTAGGATTTTGTAGTGGTTCTTCCTAGACGACTAGTGATGGGATCAATGCTAACTAAAGATTGAAACATTTTGTGAACCTAATAGTTTCATATGTTTAACCTTCAATACTCAACTCTTGGTTGGAATGATTGAGGACAAACCATTGAAGTTTAATTTGAGTTAATATAGGTTTGATATGCCTAAAGCAACCCTTTGACCTTAGAGACTTGGGTCTTTTTTTTTTTTGTCTTTCTTTGAGGCACTTCACTCACTTTCACTGTCTTTGGATAGCTCCTATTTTAGCTTGTAGAGAACTCATTTGGATTTGAAGTTTACTTTAAGCTAAGAAAAGAGGCTTATCCTTTAATAAAGAGAAAGAAATGATAAATTCACTATAATTTCAAAAAAAAACTAAAATAATAGTCATTAGAAAATTCATCATTAAATCAAATCAAATTGAAATCAACACAATTGAAATTTGTTAAAACATTATAAACAAAATTTTCAAAATTCAAAATATTTTTTTCAAAATTAATTAATAAATTGAAAGTAAAGGAATGAGATTTGTAAATTAAGAAAATATTTCAAAAATAAAATAAAATTTAAAATAAATTAAGAAAAAAACAAAAAAAAATTTAAAAAAATAAATAAATCAAAAATATTTTAAAAAGTAATTCAACAATTAATTTTATAAATAAAGTTTAGTAAAAAAAATCAAAAATATAATAAAATGGTATTTTTCCAAAATATGTTCTTCCAATTTTCATGTTATTTTAAAATTTACCTAAATTTACTTTAATTCAAAATAAAATTTTCAAAAACCCAGTAAATATTCACCAAATACTCACAAAGCATTCAAAGCCACTAGATAATTTTCCTTAATTTTTAAAATAAAATAAAAATCACCAAAAATTTCACCCACTCAACCTTTGAACCTTTCCAAACCAATGTCCTTCCTTTTGGGCCCTTCTATTGGCCACAATTGCACACACAAGCTCACCTATATTTGTCCTTGGAACCTTTTATCCATCTACTTGCCAGCACATCTGAATCCAAGCCAATTTTGAAGCCACTTTGGATCTATCTTCAAGCCACCCCAAAGCCACCTTTTCAAAGCCATTTGCCTCCTTGTCAAGCCATATCCATTGTTGAACTTGTTGAAACCATTTGAGCCCCCAATTTAATTATTTGGAGCCACACTTTAAGCAATTTACAACTCATTTCAATTTTTTTGGAAGCTTCATTCCAAGATTTCATTCATCGGCATAACTTCCCAAACACTTACCCCAATCCTATTGGCTAATTTGAAAACCACCCCAACGTAATCCTAACCAAAATAACAACAAAGGGAGGGTGAACCATGCCTAGCCAAACCATCATATCTTTCCTTGCAAGTTAACACAATTTTAAAGACCACATGTCACCTCCCAAGTGGTAGCACACCAAGTTTGACCTTCAATGTGGTTAATCCTCATTGGCTACAAGAAGATGACCTTTCCACCTCAGCACTTGAACCAATTATTGGTGTCATGCGCTAAAGTTGAATCCAAGCTCAAGTGTTCTCTATAAATAGCCTTATATTTTGGGCTCAAGCTAATTCCAACCCAAACCCTCGACAAAGCTTTGTCCAATTCACCCCAAAACTTTGCTTAGAGCTCTAAGAATCTTTCCCAACCATTTCCATAGTTGATACCATAGAAACCACCAATAAATCAATTGCCTTGAACCAGAACATCATAGGTTTTTATGGCGGCTACATCAATTTTATCATCTACTCATTCTAATAGTTTTCTTGAGCTCAAAAACTACCTCCTGCATTCAATAACTCAAGATGGAGCCCTCTAAATCACTTTTCAACCAAGAGTGGATGACGTTGATTGGAAAGATACAAGAATTCATTAGACTTTGCAATTGGAGCCTAGAGCATACTTATTGGATCCCTATAAATGTATTGTAATCTATAAATTAGGAAGAAAACACATTGTATAAGGTATGTAGCCAAATTTTCTTATTGCTTGTCATGTTTGGACGATTTTGAAATAAACTTGCATGTTATACAATCTTGACTGCTAAATAGATAAGATTTGGCTAGATAAAGCTTTTCGTAGTTTTAATTCGTTAATCAGAGCATTAGAGCTCAAGGTTCAAGCGTATTTCCTTAAACATTAGTGGATTCATCAATCCTTTGGGGATAATGAACGATGTTGTCCATGTCTTATTAAAAGAATTAGACGACGCACTTGGTCATGTGATGATGTGGTGGTCTTTAAGGTGCACATCGGCTCGTTCCATGTGAGTTGCGCAGACGACCTCCAATCATTTACTGGCCAGTGGAAGGACGATGCTTGGAAAGCGCTACAGACATGGCTAGAAATAGACGACTAACTTGGCCCACCTTTAAAACCGTTAAATAGATTTAAAAATCTTTAATAATTCCAAAAAATGTAATATAACTTTGAAAATTTATAAGAAATCAAAGAAAAATGAAAAAAAATTAAATAAAAGCAACATATTAAAAAAAATCATGAAGAATAAATGAAAAATAAAATCAAAGCTTAATGACATTAAATAATTTTTAAATTTAATAAAACTATTAGAATGCCAAATAATCATAAAAAAATGAAAATAATTTAAAATATTATGAGATTGGAACTATTTGAAGTTCTTGAACTTGATATGTTCCTTGAATTTCCTTAAGGCTAGAAAAGATGATTTAATGGTTCAATTTGATTTTCCTTTAATTCATGAAATTAGTTGATTAAACAAACTAAATAAATTAAATAAAGAAAAAAAATTACAAAAAAACATCATGGAAATTTCAAGAAACATGTAAGTAATTGATGTGGTCTGGTCGTTGCGGTAGCCACAACAATAATATAATTCAGGATAGTTAATATTTCTTTAAATCTTTATAGCTGCCACTTTTAAAGATTTAAGGTATTATATATCGATTTCAAATATTTGCTAGGATGCTAACACAAGTATATGTATCGCACAAGTAGTATAGGGATTACTTCGCTTAGGTTGGAGGTGAAGCGTACTTCAACTCTGTAATGGCTCCTAAGACAACAATAATATTTTCTCGATTGACTCCAGCTCGGATGTAACTTCCCTAACGTTATTCCGAGTTGGTCTAGTCTTTTTGTTTCGGTTAGGTTGGAGGAAAATTTTACTTCAACTCCGTAATGGCTTTTAAGACAACAGACGACATTTTCTCGATTAGTTCAAGCTTGAATGTAAGTTCCCCAGCAGTATTCTAAGTTGGCCTAATCTTTCTGTTGAATATCTTGAAAACCCCACGAGAGTCAATGATCAATATTTGACAAATATCCAGCTGAAAAAAATCAATGTTGAGGTTGGTAGCTTGAATTCACAGCTATAAATTGAAAATACATCCACTAATCCCCAACGAGAGTTGTAAAATCTTCAGCTCAAATTCATCTCAAATACAACCTGATCCATATTGTGCCTTAAGTATCTTTGCATAGACCCTGCAGATTTTGTTGATCGTTTCAGTCAACACCAATACGCGTGGTGTGCTTGTTCAACACACCACACCTATTAGGGGTCTATTTGTTGACCTAATTTTTGGTGAAGCTCAGTCAATATTTTGCTTGTCGAACAATTCTGACTTGTTTGTCGCGTCATGCGTGAAACTGACTTGAGTTGACCTGATCATCGACGAAGTTGTCCAAATGAACTAAGATCATGAAACGGACCGCACAAGCGCATTCGGAACATTGACTTTACCCGGGAAAGACACTCATATCAATATGGTTTCGCGAAGGAGTCGGTAATGTGTAAATCAACGTGTTTAAATTATATAATGAAATAAAAAAATAAAATAGAAAAGAAGAGGGTTTTAAAATACCCATCGCATAACCTAATCCCCAGATCCTCTCTCTTGATCGTGAGAGTTCTGAAGCTTTCACTCTTATCTCGTAAGAAACCCTAGCCCGAGCCTCCCTCATCGCCACCTTTATCGGCCCTCTTCCTTGCGCTCGAGATACAC